TGAAGGCACATTAAGAAGATCATATGCCATGAACAAATTACTTCCTTCTATGGATGCAAGGATAGTGAATATTTACAAATTAACAAATGTAATACAACACATAAACAGACCCAAGGACTAAAATCATACAACTATCTCAATAGATGCAGAAAAGGTCTCTGACAAAGTTCGTTACCTCTTAACATTAAAAGTCCAGCCAGGCGGTGGTGGCGCATGTCTTCAATCCCAGCACTTGGGAGGCAGAGGCAGGCAGATCTCTGTGAGTTCGAGGTCAGCCTGATCTATAGAGAGAGTTCCAGGACAGCCTCCAAAGCCACAGAGAAACCCTGTCTCAAAACAAAACAAAACAAAAAAAGTCCAGAGGAAAGCAAGACTAGAGGAAACATAGTTTGACATAATAAAGATTAGGCACAAGAAACCTATAATCAAGACTGTACTGACTAGGAGGAAAACTGAAAACATTTCCTCTAAAATCAGGATCAAGACAAGAGTGTTGACTCTTTCCCTACTTGTTTAACATACTGCTCAAAATCATAACCAGCACAATAAGAAAAAAATAAAGAGGGTACAAACAGAAAAAGATGACATAAAATTACTTCTGCAGGTAGATGACATGTAGCACAATAATATAAACCTAGAGACAGAGAAAGATATTGGAGTTCAAGCTGAAGATTAGAAAAGCAAAACAGCCAGCCACTAGAGAGTTCTCACCTCTAACAATGCTCAGACTTGAGGGGGTGACTGCAGACTGCAGACTGACTTAGCTCCTGTCTCCTCCCAACTTACAGTACTCTCTAGTGCTAGGATTAGAGGCCTGCACCACCACTGCCTAGCTTCTATGGCTTACTAGTGTGGTTGCTGGGATTAAAGGAGTGTACCATCACTGTCTGGCCTGTGTAGCTGACTAGTGTGGGTAGCTTTGCACTGTGATCTTCAGGCAAGCTTTATTTATTATATCATAAACAATATATCACCACAATGACATTATCCTGTATTTAAATTTCCTGACAATTCCATCATAGATTTAATAAACAATTTGAGCAAAATACCAGAATAAAAATCAACACATAAAAATTAATAGCATACTGGAGACATGGCTTAGTGATTAAGAGCACTGGCTGCTTTATCAAACAACCAGGTTCAATTCCCACCACCCTCATGGAGGCTCACAACCCTCTCTAACTCTATTCCCAAAATGGCCCCCAAGGCATTTCATGCACATGGTACACAGATATATATCAAGACAAATATTCACAAGCATAAAAATTAAAATCTAGAAAAAGTCAAAGTCAGGAGCTTTTAAAATGTCAATGATACTTTTTGCAATAGCCTTAAAATTATCTAGAAATTGGACCAGTGAGACGGCTCATGGGGTAGGACAACTTGATGCCAAGCCTGACAAACTTGAATTAATTCTCCAGAATCCCAAGGTAGAATGAGAGAACAAATTTCTACAAGTTATCCTCTGACCTGTATATGCACTCCACAAACACAATACAGAATAAACAAATGTTTACATTACCTAAGAATGATACACATAACTAAACTTTTGAGACACTAAAGACAAAAGACCTTCCATGTTCATGGGTTAGTAGAATTTATATCATGAGACAGCTCTGTCACTTAAAGAAATCTATGGATTCGCTGTAATCTCCATCAAAACTCCAATGACATTTTTCACAGAGCTAGGAAAAGTAATCTGAAAAGAGACAAAGTGTAGCAAGTTGAAAGAGTAATGGTGCAGGCATCACAATACTTACTCATTAATTATACTACAGAGCTACAGTAAATATTGTGGCACAAAACCAGAGACATATAACAGTGGAATAGAATGGAGTACCATAAATAAACCCACATGGCCACAGGCACTTAATCTTTGACAAAGGAGTTAAAAAGTGCACGTTGAAAAAATGATGCAAGAAATGGTGCTGGGGGAAGGAGAAAGCCACATGGAAAGGAGCGAGACTAGATCTAGACCTTTCATCCTGCAGAAAAGTCAAGGCAAAGTGTCTTCCTAAGACCTGAAGTTCTAAAACTGCTAGAGGAAAGCAGGTAAAAAAACGTTACAGGGACAGTCTATAGAGCTCATCTAACACACAGTGGGGAAAACTTGATAGACTTAGTGGTCTAGTGTCTTTGGATAGAGGGGACTGGCAATATAGGTTATTAAAATTGTATTGCTTTTATTAGTAATCAGTTTTAAAACGTTATTACTTTTGTGATTATCAAGTGGGTCCAGTACAAAGGGTTCAAGGGTAATGTAGTGGCCATTTCATTCACTGATGAGCAGATTTGGAGTAGTTTGAGAACCTTTGCTTCATACATGCATATGACATTGATGGCATAGAATAGAACACACACACACACACACACACACACACACACGGGAAGAAGGGGAAAGGAGGAGAGAAGAGAGGAGAGGAGGGGAGAGAGAGAGACAGAGACAGAGACAGAAACAGAGAGACAGAGACAGAGACTGATGAATCTTCAACAGATCCCATCTGCAAAAGCAGACACGATGTCTTGCTCACAGCTGAATCTGAGCACACTAAAGAGGGCAAATGAGGTCATATAACCCAGATTCAATGAATTTTCTTTTTGCAAAAAAATCTTTCAAATATCCTGGGATAGTATAACAACTTGTTCTAAAAATATTAATAGGTAGGTATCAGTAGGTTAAATACTAACAGAGATAACTAACACAAACAGACACAGCTATTTACCCTATTTTACACCATGGGAAACTGGGGCATGAAGAATGCACTCAATGTTTCTTTCACCAGTGATCCCATGGTTAGCAAGGGATGGAACTGGGATTCAAATGCAACAGACCATTGTCTCCATGGTCTGTGTTCTCATTCGATGGAATGTACTCCTCATAGCGAAGAACAAAGATGTAAAGGATATATTTGCACATATGACATAAATGTCATGTTGTCACTGAAACAGGGAAAATGCTCATTGGATATTTTGAAATGGCCGTATAAATTGGCTATAAAATGGAAATTGTGTTAATCAGACAATTCAACTACAGCAAAATAACACTAGTTATAAACAGCAAAGATAATGGGTGAGGATATGTCATTAGTGATGAAAGGGGCAAAAGTTCTGGTTCAAAGATGAGTGATTATGAGAGGAAAATTTGTAACTGGAAAACTATAATTTGAAAATATGAAAGATAGCCTATTTTTCTAAGCAAATGCACACTAATCAAAATTGATTCAGTGAGAATTAAAAATAAAAAAATTTCGGAAGCCATTAACACTTTTCAAAAGATAGTAAAACGAAAATCTGTCCTTTTAAAATCCATGAAGCACAGATGACTTTTGAAGGTCATCTAAGAAACTCTCAATCAATAGACAGCCATATTAATTTAAATATCTCTGAGGGGAAAACTCAAATGCCAGGAAAGTTATTTTATTAGTTTAGTATAACCCCATATTAAAGCTCAATGAGAGATCAACTAACCCCAACAAACACCAATTTATTAATAGGAATGGAAAAAACTACCTTCACATAAGTAAACAATTATCCAGCAGTATGCTTATGTAAAGGAACAGACATGGTCAAGTAGAGTATAACACAGCACTGTCAGAGACTGCATGTTAAATCAGGGCACAGATGGATGGGTTTTGCAGAACTGGTGTTGGGACTGGGCATCTCACATCTGTCAGATCCTCACCTTACCTCTTTGCACAAATGCAACAGCCACAAATTACGAGAACATTCAGAGAAAGGAACATTGTTGAGACTCTAGGGTAGAAAGCCTTCTTTAGCAAGATAGGGAATGTAGGAGTGAACATACACACCTTTATGGGGGGAAAAGTCCGTAAGCAGCACTGAAGTTATTAAAAATCATGGGAACTGGATGGAAACTTCTGGGTAAGGTGCTACAGAACCACCAGCTAATAAAGGCACAGTAAGAAGTAGATCTATACAGTAAAAAGTTCAGTAAAAATTGATAGCCCTCTAGCAAGTTTGGTTTTAAAATAGATGGTAGGGCAGTAGAAAATGCCAACAGAGAGTATTAGGATTGCAAAAAGGGTTTCCTCAGAACACAGTTAGAGACATATAGAAATAAAATGACAAGAATGACAAGGAGTATTTTTTTTGTCCTCTTCCTTTTTTTTTTTTTGAAGAGGGCACAAGGTTTGGGGGGTGGGGACCTGGGAGGACCGGTAAACGAGTGTAATCAGGGTACATTGTGTGAAATGCCCAAATAATCAATAAAAACATACTAGCAAACATGCCAAGGCCACACTTGGAAACTTTGTGCTGGAACATCTGACATATAAATGAGACAGATAATTCTCAAGGAATAGATAAATTACTAAAGTTGACTCAAGAAGTAGGACGTTTGGGGGTAGGATAAATAGACTCTATGTGTGTATACATATTTAGAATAAAATTCAGCTTATCTTTGGGAATCTGACTAGTGGGAGAAGGGTGCTACAGGGTTGGGAGGTAGGAGGCACCCACTTTCCAAATATAGCACACTGCTTTGGATGATATGCAGTAGCCATGAATTAATTTAGTTAAAAGGCAACAAATATTGTTAGTGATGACTCCACGGGAAGTCATGGGAGTAGGGAAGAGGTGGGTTAAAGGATGTAGTTGATGGAATCCGGAATTACGCATGTGGGAACCATCCCAAACAATCAGATTCTCTCTCCTTTTCACATTGCAGACTGTTATCATGAGACCCCAGAGAGTTTATCAAGAAATCTGAGGCAGGCAGAGCCACAGAAAGACCAAAACACACAGGAGTTAGGATACCTACGGGTGTCAGACTTTGGGAAGATCCCTTCAAACATCCAGACCTTAAGGTCTGGACATGCCAAGTGCTCAGGCCACCGGGGTTTCTAAGGCTTCTATCAAGTTGTTGAGTAAGTCTGATCTCCCAGAGCTGGAGACAAGGGGGGCGGGGCAGCAGGTAGGCACCGCCCCACTCTCCACTGTTCCCTCCTTCCAGCTTCCTCGCTCACACCACCCACACAGTTTTCTCCGTTTGCTGCTGGAGAGCCGTTTTCCGGCACCAGCGGGCAGCAGTGTCTTGTCAGCCAGTAAAACTAGCAGAAGCCAAGCTGCAGGACTGGGCTGCGCAGGAGCTCTGCGGCCAGCAGCTCCAAGCCGGGGGAGCGTTCTCGCGTTTCTTTAACACTTCTTTCTCTTATTAAATGCCCCTCTCCCCTTGGCTGCCACAACTTGGAAGAGCAGAGAGAGTGATTCGATTAATTGACGCAGAGGTTTCATGGCCCTTAAAGAAGTTCTGAGTAAGTCTGCATTCAATGGCATCCACGAAGACAGGGCTAGCCTAGCTTCTGGCCCTGCTTCAGACAGGCAGAGCTCTCTGACAGCCAAGCTGAAGCTGCAGGTGCTGTGGAAGTGATGGCACTGTCCAAGTCCTGGATCAAGGTAGCGTGGCTCGGTAAGCAGGTAAGCATCCCCACTGGGAAGTGCGCTTCAAGGGCTTTCTACTGGTCACCTAGGTGAGCCAAGGCTCCCTAGAAGTAAGTCCATGTTATCTAGCCAGGGCGGGAGGCGGGGCTGAAGGAGAGAGGCTGTGTTTATCACAGGAAATTGTGGGAGACTGAAATGAAAGAATATACATACATACATACATACATACATACATACATATTATCGCGTGGGGATGTGGTGCGTAGGAACCAGGGATTTTTTTTTTTTGTAGGAAATGGTTGCAGATTGGGGCTGGCTGTTAGGCGTCTGGGTTTTTACAGGAACTGAAGCCATAGCAAAGTCTTACGTTTTGCATAAACCTGTGATGAGTGGGCAGTGAGAAGATGTGATTGTGAAAATGTGCACAAAATCGTAAAGCACATGTCTGTGAATTTCTGAAAAATTATGGCATGAGCTTTCATGCTCTGACTTTACTTGGCTCCCTCCCTCCCTCGTATTAGGCCTTCAGGAAGGTGCCCAATGACACTGATAGCAATGAATGCCCACACACCAGGCTCGGCCGCACCCCAGGTTTCAGAACCTCGGACAGAAGCCCCCTCCCGCCCGCCCCTCCAACGTCCCCCCACCCCACCCCTGGCAGCTTTTAAGCCAGCGGATTGGCTCCTAGTCTGCTACCTCTATCAGCATTGGTTGGCAGCGGCAACTCTCTTGGTTCAGCCAGACCTGTCTCTTGAACCACAAACACCCAATTTTTAATGGGCTTCTAACTGCTTCCCGCGGACTACAGAAGAGGCGGAGTGCAAAGATATGCTTCCAAGCTTCCGCAAATGCTGCCTCTGAACGAAGTGGCCTCCTTAGTTTTGAAGTGTGTATCCAAACTTTGTCAAGAACTTATCATTTATAAACCGCTTACCGTGTGCCAACACTCTGTGCCAAACACTCTGTATAGATTGTATAATTTTATACACCATGATAGTTCTTTTTGTATGCTATTTTTATTCCCATTTTTCAGATGAGAAAAACTGAAGCAAGAGAGACTAAGAAACTTGTTCAAGTTTATACAACCAGAGACTGTTACAACTGACTGCATCTTAAACTCCACCCCTGCCCAGAGATAGAACCATAAGTCTGAGCAGAGTTTCCTCTGTGAAACAGCTCTGAGCTTGGACTTGGAGAGACAGAACCTGATCAAAGTTGTAGCACCATGCCTTCAGACAAGATACTGCGTGTGTTATTGCATGTGTTTGGCACTGTAGCTCAGTAGGTAGAGTATCTGCCTAGCACACTCAAAGCCCTGGGTAAGACCCTCATAATCAGTCAAACTAGGCAAAATGGTTGTATGCCTTCAGTTTAAGTACTCTGGAAGAACAGGCAGGAGAATCAGAAGTTCAAGGCCATCCTCCTTTACTTAGGAATTTGATGCCATAGAGAGATACATGAAACCCTGTCTCAAAAATAAATAAATAAATAAATAAATAAATAAATAAATAAATAAAAGGTCCCTGTAAGGTTAGCATAATGCTTCCCCGGAAGAAAGTGTGTGTGTGTGTGTGTGTGTGTGTGTGTGTGTGTGTGTGTGTGAATGTTCCTTATACTTTAACTGTGGTTGGTGGAGTAGAAAAGTAGGCAGGTAGCTGGAAAAGTTACAAGGCAATAATGCACAGTACTATTACGCTGCAGGTCTGGGTTCAGAGCAGGGCAGGGCTCCATGGAAAAGATTCGAGACAAGATTAATTCAATGAAATAACCCTTTAGGGATTTTTAAGCAGAACTTCCTGCAGGACATTCACATGCTGCCTATCATTTGATCCACTGTGAAGTAGGAAGGACTGCGGTCATTCCAGTCATTTGACAAAAGAAAACTTGTACTGAATTCTTTCGGTACCCACCTAGTAACAGAGCTGAAATTCTAAACAGCTCCCGGTCATCTTTGTTTGACAGTGCCTCAGACTGGCACTTCCTTTGGAGCTTGGGATTTGGCAATTTCAGCACTAAAAGTGTTTGGATAAATAGATTAACATGTGACAGCAATGATGTCTAAACTAATTATGGATCAACTTAGTAGATGAATATTAACTATATTCTATTTTTATTCATAGGGAACTTAAAACAATCTTTAAAGATTCACAGGCTTATATTCAGTAGTAGTTGAAGAAGTAGAGGAGAAATAAACTATAGCCAGAAACAAATGAATATAAAATATATCTTAGAAAGTCCTAGAAGCCTTCTCTGGGTCAGTAAGGACAATATATACATAAGTCTTTTGGGTAAGGCATAAATAATTGTAAAGGTACTCATAAAACATCTACAGACCTTTCTCTTCTTCGTAATGACATATTTCAGATCACTGAAATACTTGCTTGTGTGACGAATGAGGGAAGATAACTGGAAATTTGTTGAACTTGTGACAGAAGAAAGTAGCCATCAAGGAAATGACATTATGACATTACATCTTTACCAAAGTAATTGCTAGTTACATAATTTATGATGGCTCACTTGACCATATGCACCTTAAAGTTAACAACAACAAAGAGCCTCTGCATTTATTGTTTTATTTGATCCTTCTGACACCTTTGAAGAGGTCAGCAACAGGACATGGGAGAAAGGGCAAGACTATGGCATGATGGCCTTTTACTTTTATATGCAACCCCCTGTCCCTATTTAGCCCAGATAAGTTAGCAAATGTATGAGTAAGGCTTGTTGTATTATTATAGAGAATGGCAGGTTCTTCCCATGCTAAACAATGACTAATCTCCTTAGTGTTTTCAGTTGGAGTAATTAATATATCATGCCAAGGGCTAGAGAGATGGCTCAACAACACTTGTTGTTACAGAACATCTGGATCCCAGAACCTACATGTTAGCCCACAGGCATTCCACACCCTCTTCTGATCTCCTTGGGTACCTGGCAAGCCCATGGTACACAAGCATGCATTCAAGAAAAACATTAATACACAGAAAGTAAAGTAAGCAAATCAAACAACATTTAAAATATCATCCCAATCAAACATGGCTCCCAGGACTTTAATTTGTGAACGTGGTCTGAAAAACTCAAGCCAAAGACTTGGAAACATATGATAATGACATATCTAGGTTCAGTGTGGAAAAGGCTCAAAGCCTGTCACTTTTGCTTCCTACTTTTAAATCTGGAAGATTGAGAAAGATTGTCCCTCAGAGCTTAAAAGGGACATAAGACTTCTATAATTCTATAGATAACAAAATACCAGAAGGACTTCAGGACAAAGATGGTACACACCCTCCCTCTGTCATGCTAGTCAAACAGCATATGATTTAACTTTTGGGGAAGACATGATTTAACTTTCAGTTGTTGTTGGTATTTAGTCTTCAGAATTCATTTTGTAGCCCTGGTGCCTTGGAATTAATGTTAGTCACCATCATAGTACAATGTTAAAAAAGTTAAATCTTAAGGATTGTCGAGAGGTGTATGTGTGTGTGAGTGTGTGAGTGTGTGTGTGTGTGTATGTGTGTGTGTAATGGGCATGTCAAGAGCTTGGGAAGAAAGACAACAGGGAGACACTGCTCATATGTCAGTTTTACTTTGTTATGAAACACAAGAAAATTATTTTCTTTGGGGTTATGTTTTGATTATTTTTTATCTTTATGTTTTTGGAAAAATCATATATTATATTATTTATTTTTGAGACGTCTTTCATTGACCTAGAGAGCATCAGGAATCTTCCTGTCTCTGCCTTTCCAGTGCTGGTTTTCCAAGCGTGTTCTGCCACACCCAGCTTTTTCACAGGAATTCTGGGTCTCGAACTCAGTTTCTCATGCTTGCAAGGCAAGTGTTCTACTGGCCGTACATCAGGTGAGGTTTTAAAAATAAAATAATGGCATCTAGAGCAGCCAAAGTGCTAGGATTTCAAAATTCAGAGGATGTGTCAGCTGTTTCTGGTGAGAAACGCAAGCTTAGAGACGCCTGGTAAAGCATCCTGCCTTCCCACATTAGGTGTTCTTAGCATTTACTTCATAGGGCACAGTAGAAAACAAATCTCAAATGATAAGAAACTAGGTATTGGTTAATTCACACATCAAATGTATCACTAGTCAGTTCTGTCTTTTTTAGTTCTCTTAGGCTTTACTCTCCCTCAACCTCTGTATTGTGGTAGCCCTAATTCTCTTCATCCCCACAAGGCTCTTATGTGACCTCCCAGCCTCCCAATCCATTCCTACCCTGCTCCAATGATTATGTCACCTTTTCATTTACAGCTATCCACTATTTGACATTTCCTCACTCTAGCATCTACCTTTAGGGCAACAGTCCAAAAGGTGTTGCTTGTCCTGCTAGTTACCTCACTCTACCAGTGCCTGTACCTCTTCAGCCCTGACCCTATACCACAAGGCTTTCTAAATTTCTGTGATATGCTACCCTCTTCTTTATAAACCAGGTGTAATGCCTTCAATATTGTGATTCAAGAAGCTTCCATCCCTTTTTAAGGGCTAGTCCAATTGTGTGTTCATTATGAATCCTTTCTTAATCTGTACCCTTAATTCCTCATGGTACTGATCTCTCTCAGCTGTCTATCTGTGACTTGCTACACAAAGCGACAATTGTTTCACATAGAAGCTAAGAATGTGGACTTTGAGGTGAGACTGCTGGATTTGAATTCTAATTCTATAATCTATTACTTAGGTGGTTTTAGATAAGTGACTTTCTCTTCCTGACGCCCAGTTTAAGCTTCAATTTAAGAAACAGATTTCTATTAATCTCATGGTATTGTTGTAAGGATTAAGTGACAATGAATAGAGGCATTGTTATTAACCAGGACCTTGCTTGATACATGGTGAGCATACCAAAAAAGTTTATTGTTTTCCTTCTAGATTGTAAATACCTGCATTCAATATATCTCTTAGTATCTACATAAATATCTACATATCTCTATCTTCATATCTGACTATGTTTGATGACAGATAAATGAATAAATAAACAAATAGCACTGATAGCCTTACTCAGGATTTACTTGATTATAAGTAGCAGAAATTTTAACTCGAATAATCAGAGACAAAACCACACTAATTAACTTTAAGTCTTATAGAGTGTCTTTTCTTGTACTTCAAAGGCCAAGAAATTCAAAACAGAGAGGGAAATTCTCTCCCCAACTCTTTTCTCAGCTCATTGGTAGGTACACTCAGTCAGTTGCAATCATCTGGGAGCTGACTGGGGCTAGACAGATGAAATGGTCTCACCTACGTCCAGGAAGTTAGCTGAAGCTCCGACTGATCTTTCTAGTGGGATAGTCTTCCTCGTAAAACATCTTGAATCCAAAGAGGAAAACTTAGATGTTGCAAGGTCTATGAAGGCTTTGCTAAAAAGTGATGGTGTTTTTGCCCATTTTATTGGATAGCTTCTCATACATATAACAGGAGAGCAAAATTTTGTAGTCATGGTTTTCAGTTTACCACAAGTATCAATGTAGGCATGGGATGAGTAGGTCAAAATGTAGGCTTCAGTTTAGTATAGTGGTAGCCCAGCAGGTTCCTGATGGTTTCTGACTTCCTGCATCCTTTGGCTTGTCATTCTAACTACCTTGTGCTTTGATTTGATTTTCCTTGAGTACTAATGAGACTGAGTACCTTTGATGAGCATGTAAAGCTCATGGGTCATTTGTGTATCCTCTTTTGGAGGAAGTGATTTGGAGGAGTTCTTTATATAGTCTGGATATGAGTCATTGTAATTTTACTCAACTTTCCCTCTTGGATCTTGATTGATTTTTCTCTTGATTACAAAGGAAGTAACATTTGAGCTGATGTTTAGAGGATGATGAATAATTAAAGAAGAGTAAGGAGTCCTTATAGTTAGGAACAAGAGCAGTGCCAGGAGGAGGAAAAGTGGGCATATTTAAGAAACATGGACTTCTTAAGGTAGGCAGGAAATGAGAAGAGCTGGCATTTTAGGGGATGATTCTGGAAGGGGAGATAGGGTCAGGGGAAGAAAGGCTTCCATGATGGAATGAAGAGAAGTGTTTTCACTAAATACAGCCTTTTATTTAGTTAATGCTTGGAAATTATGCTTTGGATCTCCAGAGCTTGGAATCTAAGATGTTTATTGGATGTTGAACAATGCAAAACTTTAACACAGTCACCGTAGGTAGCACACCATTAAGGAGATCATTATAATAGCAGGAGAGAGAGAAAGAGAGAGAGAGAGAGAGAGAGAGAGAGAGAGAGAGAGAGAGAGAGAGAGAGAGCCACATACACACAGAGAAATGACGAACAATAGGATACTAAAAGAGAAAGGAGATGAGGAAGGAGACTGAAATATAGATATGTCAATTGTGCAATGTCCTCAGGTAACAGCAATTTTTCAGAAACTCTCATAGAAGTATAGAAGCACAATTGCAGTAGGTTAAACTCAGAGTCTTCAGTATGATGCATCTGACATAGTGGGAAATGTGCTGAAGCCGAAAGATTCAGACCAGGCTGTTGCTGCTGTTACCTTTAAAGCGGAGTGCTTCCAGAAGGAACTGGGATGGATGAATGAAGCCTCTTTCTCTTAATGTGGTATGATGTGGCGCTGAGGGTGACAGTCATTGTGTGTGCATGCTTGAGTGTGGAGAGGCCATAGGTCAACCTTGGGTGTTGCTCCTAAGGAGCCATACACATTTTTATTTTTGAGATAAGATTTCTTGCTAGGACCTGAGGTTCAGCAATTATGCTAGGCTGTCAGGCCGCCAATTTCCTGAGATCCTTCTGCTGTTACCTTCCCATTTCTAGGATTACAATTGTACTTTACTATGTCCATCTGTTTTCAATGGGTTCTGGACTATCTGAGCTATCTCTCGGGCCCTGGTTTGCTCTTTTATCCATTAAAACTTTTTAAAGGATAGGCATTTATCTGTCAACTTCATCCAAGATAATGTTGCCTTCTAATTCTATAGAAAACAGAAACTGGGAAGCCATCGCCTCAAGTAACACAGAAAGATAAAGAATGCTATAGATCAGATGAGGAGGAGGCAACAGGCTGCCATCTCAGTGAGAACTGGATACCCATGGTGTCCAGGTGGAGAGGTCATTCTTGCAGACATGAGTCAATGTAATTGGTACCCATAGGCTGGCCAGGTCATTCATGCTAGCCTTTCCATCACTCCTATTTGTAAGCACACAGTGTGGAAATTCCGAGTCCATGAACTAGACAACTCACATGAGGAGAACAAGACAGAAAACTAGAATGTGGCAAGTTTTGATGGAGGAAGCTTTGGTGTTTGACTTTGTTTCACAATATGTGTGAACGAAAATACAACACTGTTCTCTATTCCATGCCATATATCAGTTCAACAAAGAGGAAAGGATATAACATGGTATGGTGGGAGCTATTGTCAATTAGCCAAATGGGAAAGTGGGGACTAGACACTGGAAAAGAATGGTTATATTGACTTTATTTTATATATTTATTACTGCTTTCTCTTCACAGTCACAGTGATACATTTTAGGAACACAACAAAAAGAAAAAAATTAATACCTCCCTAGGCCTATTATCTAGAATAAGGATCAACATGTTGGTGTATTTTCTACTAGCTGTTCTGATGCACATCAATAACAATGCATTTAATGATTATTTGTAAAGTGTCCTACTCATTATGTGTGAATCACTGCTAAGTGCTGAGAGGATCCAACAGTGAACCATAACAACAAAAAGCCAGTTATGAATGTTTATTTCCTAAAGGAACTTAGGTTTCTATATTTGTGTTAATTGAGCAGTCAACACAATAATACTTTGCAATTTAAAAATAGTACTGTGTGCTCTGCATTATGTTAATTGCTTTTCATTGGGTCAGGTGGTTCTTGTGTATTTTACACACATTTTTAAATGTATTCGTTTTATTTTATGTGTGTGAGTGTTTTGCCTTCATGCACATATATGTACCAGGTATATACCTGGTGCCCATGGAGGTCAGAGGGTGTTGGGTCCCTGTAACTGGAGATATGCATTAATGTGAGCCACCATGTGTGTTCCAGGACTCAAACCCAGGCCTTCTGCAAGAGTAACAAATGCTCTTAACCACTGAACAAACTCTGCAGCCCTTAGCCAGGTGTTTTATCAGCACTATCTGAAGAAATCTTTAGAATAACCCTCGGATGTAGGCCACTACTATTTCCATCCTCATTTAGATGAATAAACTCACTCATAGGCTTTAGATAACATAGTTCAGTTAACACATCTTGGGATCAGGCTGGGACATGATTGTACCTAGACTTTGAAATAAATAATCATGGTGCATAGAATAGCAATAGAATATATAATATATAATGCTTTCCCTTTTTCTTCCCTTGCTAGGTCTGATTGCCCCTGTGGCTCAGAGGTCCTAAATTGTAGCCACCATGATGGATGATGACACTGAGTTGAGGACTGATGGAAACTCTCTCTTAAAGGCTGTCTGGTTAGGGAGACTCCGGCTGACCAGGCTCCTCTTGGAAGGGGGGGCTTATATCAATGAGAGCAATGACAAAGGTGAAACAGCTCTCATGGTGGCATGCATTACCAAACATGTGGACCAGCAAAGCATTAGCAAGTCTAAGATGGTGAAGTATCTGTTGGACAATAGGGCAGACCCCAATATCCAGGATAAGTCTGGCAAGACTGCACTCATCCATGCTTGCATCAGAAGAGCTGGGGTAGAAGTTGTGTCCTTACTGCTTGAGAATGGAGCAGACCCCAGTCTTGAGGATCGCACTGGGGCTTCAGCTCTGGTTTATGCAATAAATGCAGATGACAAGGATGCATTGAAGCATCTCCTTGATGCCTGCAAGGCCAAAGGTAAGGAAGTGATTATTATAACAACAGACAAATCATCTTCAGGCACAAAAACCACCAAGCAGTATCTCAATGTCCCTCCATCACCCAAAGTGGAAGATAGACAGTCACCACCACTGTGTGCATCTCCTTCTGACATTGACCTGAAGGCTCCGAGTCTGGGTTCTCCACCCAGTGAGAAGGATGATGATTTCTTCATCCTCCAATCAGGACACCAAAGTGGCTGTAGTACTTCTAAGGCCCTTAATGAGCCTGGATCACCCACTAGAAAAGTGTCTAGCCTTAAAAGAGCCCGTTTGCCCCAACTGAAGAGGCTCCAGTCTGAACCCTGGGGCTTGATTGCTCCCTCTGTGCTGGCAGCCTCCACACGCCAGGAGGAAACCCACAGCACAAGCACAGACAATGAGGTCATCAGGAGCATCAATGACATCTCTTTCCCTAAGAGGGGTCCCCTCTCCAGAGCCAATAGCATTGACAGTAAAGACTCCACACTCTTCCCTACCGTCCAGGAACAAGTTCTGAAGGTTCCAGCTTCAGCACCAGCTACCTGGAAAGCAGCTTATGAGAAAGGTCAGAACCCCCACCCACGCCTGACCAGGAGAGGAACACTTCCTGTTGACCAGGAAAAGGCTGGGATGTGTCCACCAGGACCATCAGCTCTGAAAGACCCAACATCTCTCAAGTTGTTGGAAAATGATCTCTATGACCTAGATGTACAGCCAGGGGCTGACCCACTGAACTCTATATCCCTTGAGTCTGGCAAAGGACCTTTAGATAGAAAGAAGCTCAACAGCTCTCACTTGTCCCTTTTCCATGGCTCTCGGGAGTGCCTGGATGCTGTACCCAGCACATCTCCCAGTTCAGTGCGTCGTAGGCCCCCTCATCTTCTAGAAAGAAGAGGTTCAGGAACTCTCTTACTAGACCGCATTGCTCACACGAGGCCTGGCTTTCTTCCCCCTTTAAATGTGAATTCAAACCCACCTATCCCAGATATCAGAGCCAGTAGCAAATCAACTGCCCCACTTGCTGGTGGCTTAAAATCTATGGTTCCCATTGCTCCAAATTCACCAAAGAGAGTTGACTTGAGAAGTAAAAAGAAACTTCTTCGAAGGCACTCTATGCAGATTGAACAGATGAAGCAGCTGTCTGACTTTGAAGAAATCATGACCTAGAACCCCTTAGAAACAGTTTCTCCACTCCTAATCTATAGAATAAGGAAGAAACCAAATCTAGAACAACATAGTCACACAACCCCTCTTCATCCCAATCATGGTGTGTGGTAACCTCAGAAAACACGATGATAGGCATAGCTTCACTTCCGAGGCAAACCCAGGGGTTATTTCAGAGTGCCGTTTCTGAGATAACCCCTGGGTGTTGCTGCTGCTGCTCCCGTTGCTGTTTCACACACCAAAAAGAGCTCAGGATAATTGGATTGTGGAGATGAAGGTACAGGAAGAAAAAAAAGTCTCCAAAGGAAACACACCTTTGCAGTTGGGAAATAGCTACACAAGTGTAATGTTTGGTATTTTCTGCCAGGAAAGCAGTGAACATGAATTTAAAACACGAGCTTGTATTCAGAGTATATCATTTGTAGTCTATAAAGTGCCTGAAAAGAAAACAAAGCTTTCATATTTTTCTGGAATGTGGAAAAGCTCAAAAACACCCCCTAACTACTGCAGGTGAGTGCCTGAGTTCTACATGGTGAAGGAAAAGCAGTGTTCTCTCAGGCAAGAGGTTTTGACTCGTGAGTCTCATCTCTTGCTGCACTGTGACCATTGTTAAAAATTAAAGGGGGCACTGAGATTCCCTATTAATTTTTTTGTTCACATGCTAATCTGGATGTGCTGTAAATCCCAAATACCATAACTACACGGGTCTGCACTGACGCGCTACAGTAAGTAGTCATTCAGAGACAAGCTTTCCTCTAGAAACGAAACCAGAGACACCACACAGGCTCCATGTTGAAATAGTGTGGAGCACCTCCTTTAAAAAAACCTATAATTAACTAAGTTGGACTCAAAGGTGATGTAATTGACCCAGCAGACCTTTACAAATGCCTCCTGATTATCTTTAAGACAGTTGGGGAGATTTGTGGAGAGCATAATGATAAATGACCATAGGATATGTACAGATTAAATAGCACAGTGGGTGGCCTTCCATCTGGAAGCAGCAGGAACCATTTCATTTTTTAAAGCCTGAACATCTAATGGGGTGAAAACCATCATTTCCTCTTCAATGATCTGAGTAATTTGAGGGCAATCTGGCTTCTTCTTTATCTGCATTATCTAGGTGATGGAGGATTTATATAAATCACTTCTACAATTGTTCCAAGATATGAGAAAACCCACGGGGAAGAGGTGTAGCAAATTTGGCATAAGGTAGCTACATTGTAAGTGAGGAGATAGAGCCCTCATTTTCCCCCATTTATTTGTCCTCTTATGTAGGTTGAGGTGCATTTGCTCGGTAGTTAAGAAATGCAGGTGTCCCCATGGATGGCATCATGAAGAGGAGCAATCAAGGCTCCAGGTATGACAGATTAGGGTTTTCAAGAGTCTGATTTTAGGAGAGAAGTGATGCTAGTTTGAGTCTCCCTTTCATCAACTGTGCAATGGTATTCACAATGTCTATAAAGCTGTGCTAAGGATGAAGTCATACAGCAGACAGAAGCATCAGATTTTGTGTGGAGTGTGGGTACTGGTCATTAGTTGACAGGTAGCTAAAGCTACTCTTAGGTTTTTTTGAGATCCTGGAAGCCTCAAAAATACCAGGCAGTAAGTGATGCCCTATACAAAACAGAGTCAAGTCTAGTTAAAAGATTCAAGTGTCTCTATGAGACCCTTAGTGATTCTATAAATATCAACTCCTAAAAACTCATTTGTCACATAAAACAATTGCCATGAAAGCTCTATATCTTACACCATTTCTGTAAGATCATATGATAGAAATTTATTTACATTTCTATTCCAAAACAGTTGTCAGTAATATTTATAAACAAAACAAAATGCTTATTTTTTTAAATGATTCCTTCAAGGCAAGAGCTTACTGGACCTCAGCACTTTTCACACTTGGGGCTGGTAACTGTTATGGGGGCTATTTCCTGGGCATTGTGGAGTGAACAGAAACATCTGTGGCACTACTCAGTAGATGACACTGCAGAAGAAGATTTCCTAGGCCTTTAGCTAAGATTTGGAAGCCTAAATTACCCTAAGTAGTAATTGTGGTACATTCATAATAGCTAGCTTAGGTGAAATACCAAATGATAAATTGCTCATTCAGAGTAGTCAGACCATTGCACAAAAATGTAAGATCAGATATTTTCATGCTGGTGTCAGCCATTGTGACCTTTCCATCAGCCTTTCTCTAGGTAGCCATTAGGACAGCATCTTATCTCATCCTTTCCTGGCGATGTATTCGTCAAGTTAGAGTGTCCTAAGCTAGTGTAATGACCAAATTACTGCACCACTGGCCATGCCTAAATAAGCATTGTTGTCCATGTTAATGAACTTCACAGAAATGCTTTTCAAAAGACATTTTAGATTGATACATGCTTTCTAGTCAGGGGTTATTATTTCCCTTTGGAAATCTAGTCACTCTACAAGTTAGCTTCAAACTATGTTTTTAATGATTTAGCCACTAAATGTCTAGATTGTTTCTAAATGTAATTCAGAAAGTGAGCCTAAAGTTTAAAGTCTAGAACTTTGGATTAATTTCTGGACTTTCCAAAGCCTTTGTTTTTGTTTTTTAAAACTGTCAGTTCTCTTAGAATTTTGTCCGCAAATGGTACTGTGTACATGATTTGTGTGTGTTGGTGCTTCAGGTGTAGCCCCTGCCGCCTAACCTGGTTCTCTGCAGTGCTCTGTCTTAGTCTCAAGCAGAGGATGTGTGCAAACATGTACCCACGTCCATGCGAGGTAACTATTTAGCTGTTTCTAAGATGTCAATAAAAGATGTACTACACTCCTTCCATACAAATGACTTCTCATTTTTTCCTCAGAGAAATTTCAAGGTTAAGTATCATCTCTGTACATTTTCTTTCTTATCTTTGAAAGACAGAATCTCGATATGCTTGGTTTGGTATATGGTCTTTAAGACTGTATTTATAGAATTTTCTATCAACATCAACTTCAGCAGAGACTCAATATTTTACATTCACACAAATTGGAAAACAAACTTTAAGCTTTGTGAATTCTATGGCTTGTTTCTCTCCTGTAGAAAAGAATCCAATTAATGTGAAAGTGTGTTGCCACATTTGAAGATAAATACTCACTGCTGTTGCTTATGATTTTCAGGGGGATATGCATTTCCGTGGAGCTGGTAGCACAGGCTGTAGTCACTGGATATTCATTCCTGGGGTCTGTAAGCTCACTGCTGTTAGCTCTCATTCAAGATAAAGATTTCCCTTGTCCTGTGAATATTAGCATTCTGTGATCCTCTGGATATTGCCAGACTTTGTCCTTAGTACCTTCCCTAGACTACTAAAAAGACAGCAGAGGGTAGGGATGGAAAGCTCTGCATGTTACACCATGTTTATAAGGACACATGATGGAGACTTATCTAAATATCCAAAGAAGTTGTTAGTAATATTTATACACAAAACAAAATGCTTATTGAAAAAAGATTCCCTTAAGGAAAGTAGTTACTGCTCCTCAGCCTAGTTTTATCCTGTCTTTTCTCCACTTCTCCACTGGGGAAAGGGAACATAGTATTTCTTACATGTCATTTGAGGACAGATTATGAGTAATAGTCCTGGAGGGGGAGAAAATACTGGAGGAGATGGGAGAAGCACCGAGGATCAAGGCTAAAGTGCTGACCCTGGAGGAGGGGATGCATCCCCAAGACTGATAAAAGGCTTAGAAATTCGGATTCAAGTAATGCAAACTGCTCTGTTCCAGAGTAAAAATGTAGAGAGAAATGCCTACATGGCCAAGCTTGGTGGGAACATGGTTAGTCTTGATTATCAACTTGATGAGATTATGAGACAACCCAGAAACTCATAAGGAACATCCTTGGCTATGCCTGTGAGGACCTTTCCAGGGAGGATCAAGCAGAGACAAGCTGCTGTGAATGTGAGTGGTGCCATCCTGTAGGCTGGAGAGAAAAAGAGAAAGGTTACAGAACAGCATTATTTTTCTTTCTCTTTCCCGGATGCCAGGCTGTGAGCTGCTGGGCTTCACCACGCCCTCCCCAACAATGCACTGCAGTCTCAAAAACTATGAGTCAAATAAATCCCGCCTCTCTTAGGTTGTTTTCCTCACATATTTGGTCATCTTCACCTAGGCAATCCTTCCAAAGAGACTTTCCTCTCAGATGAGTATAAGCCATGACAATTAAGCTGACTAGGATAGCATAGAAGTACAACATCTTTATTGCTTAAATTTGCCAGGTAAAGGTGCCTGCAAAGTAAAGAATGGACCTCAGGAAATGAAAGAAAGTAAGTACTATACAGCTCTCATGCAGCAGAAGCTTCCTGACAGTTTTCATGGATCTCTTAACCAGAATGTGATTGTGATATATATATATATATATATATATATATACATATATATGTATGTGTGTGTGTGTATGTATGTATGTATATATGTATATACACCATGTGTTGGGGCATGGAGAACAGGGCATGAGCAATACTACACAAAAGCAATTTCAAGGAGGAAAGATTAATCTTGTCTGATGGTTTCAACGTCTGCTTGTTTGGATCCATTGCTTTTAGGGTGTGAAAAGACATAACAGCATGGCGGGGAGCACATAGTGGACCAGAGCTGCTCACCTGTGACAGTCAGGAAGCAGAGAGGAATAGGAGCAGACCATGCACAACACATTCTCTTCAAAGATATGTCCCCAACAACCCACTTTCTCCAGATAATCCTCACCTCCTCAAGTTTCCACCACTTATTCATAGCTCCAGCACTTGAGGGTCAAGCTTTCAACACATGAACCATCTCAGGGGAGCACTTCACATCCAAAACACAACAGGGATTCTGTGGTCCAATAGCAGAAGACGGGTTGTGGAGGCCATTTTGAAATCACAGAGTTAAAAATCTAGTGGTAGCCATTTGGGAAAAGAATAGTAGGTTTAGGCAGGGCTTGGAGGAAAGCAGAAAAGAATGGTGAGAAAAGATCAAAGAGGTCAAGACAATGTCCAGATACATCAACCCATATGATCGGCCCGATGAAAGAGCCACCTGAAACCTCCTTTCAGATTTCCCTGCCTTCCCTTGGCTAATATGCTCAGAATCACAGACATTTCTGTTCTAGAGGTTAGAGTATTCTCTCTTCATATGTCCACAGGACATAAATTCACTGTTTAAAGTATCCCATTGAAATTTCATAGTGTCTAACTCAGTCTTCACTGCAGGCTATTATATTTGTTCAAATTAACACTCCTTAAAGATTAAGTCTTGCAATCCTGAGACACAAGATTGCTATTCTAAAGCTTCAAACCTTCATTCTCTTTATTCCTTAGTGAAATTTTTTCATCTTCTCCATAGAGATCTTACACACTTCTTTTTATTCCATTACTGGGTATTTTATAATTCTGTTACAACTATGATCACAATATTGTTTATTATAACAGCAGATATCATTGGCATGTAGGAAAATTGAGATTTTCTTTTAAAAGCGTATTTAGGACATTAAAACATGTGGGGTGTGGTGGTGGTGGTGGTGGTGGTGGTGGTGGTGTGTGTGTGTGTGTGTGTGTGTGTGTGTGTGTGTTTGTGCAGGTAGAAGTCAGAGCTCAACTTTGTAGGAGTTGGTCCTCTTCCTTCCACCACATGAACCCAAAAGTTGGAACTCAGCTCCCCAGTGTTGACAACTGAGCCACCTCACCTGCTCTGAGTTTTCTCCAACGTGAGTACAGTGAGAATACCAGCAGGGCTTTTTCTTTAAAAATGACGCAATGATCCAAGAATTCATATGGAGCAGCAATGAGCTGAAAATAGCTAAAATAGTTCTGAAGAATAATACCAGGGAAGACCATGGTAGATGATGAGATATTAAAAAAGTAATAGTTATGGAAGCAGTGTAGCAAAATGCGGTAATACACAACTGACCCACGACACCAAAATAGAACAGAGCCTCACAGAGGTGAAAAGCTTAGGTGTGACAGGGATTACATTTCTGGTCAATAAATAATGCTGGGATAATTTGTTTTCCATGTAAAATAAAATCTAAAAATGAATTTGGATTTTTATTTCACAGTATAGAGTTTAATTTTGAATAAAAATGCAAGACTAACTTTTATTCTTTTGTATTTATAAGTGAAATTGCCTTGTGCTTTTGCTTTTTAATGCTCTTTATCTGTGAATTTGAAGTCTTGTAAAAAGGCATATGTTGAAAACATGGTCCTTAGTCTGTGGTGCCATTTGGAGATGGGGCTTAGTGACTGTTAGGTTCTCTCTCTCTCTCTCTCTCTCTCTCTCTCTCTCTCTCTCTCTCTCTCTCTCTCTCTCTCTCTCTCTCTCTCTCTCTCTCTCTCTCTCTCTCTCACACACACACACACACACACCCCAGGTACTTGATCCTTAAGTTTTAAAGTACCAGTTGTTTTATTTTGATGATGTCATGACATAAAAAATACCAAGTCCGAGTGATTTATAATGAAGTGAAATTTATTTGGGCACACATTTCTGGAGGTGGGAAAGTTTAGGAGCACAGTGATTGGAAGGGTCCCATGCTGTTTTACCTTACAGCAGAAATCAGGGGGTCCAATGGGACATGTAGAATGAAGAGTGGACCCAAGAGAGGGGACACCTTCTAATAGATACTCTCCTGGGAACTCACAAAACTTTTAAAGAGGGTAGAGCCCTGCTACTTAAAAATCTTAAAGGTTCTAAATCCTCTCCATGGGTTATACTGGCTGCTAGAATTTTATATGAGTTTGGGTGGGGACAACCCCTTCTCAACTGTAGCATTTATTATATTTACTTAGTAGATGTAGGGTTTCTTAGGCCAGGCTCATGAAATTCAGGACAGGCATTTGGGCTGTTGTGATTCTCCAAGGGGTGCACTGCAGAGAGCTTCCTAAGGAAGGTGGGGAAACAGGACAGAGAAAGTGCAGGGACCTCAAGGGGAGTATTGCTTGCTTTCATCTTCAGGGAGGGACTACAGAGATAATAAAAAAAAATCACAAGGACATTACCTCTCTGCAATGCAAGGGGAGCACAGCTGACATTCTAGCTTTTGACCGTGACAGATAAAAACCAAGGGAACAGGCAGTTTTTCTCCTATTGATCTGGAAGTAATTCTAGGGCAAAACAGAGAAGCTGTGGAAGCTGTACAAACTGAGTGGCGAGCATAGTGGAACAAGTTAGGAAGGAAAGGGAATTTAGACCTTTAAACTGCACCGGACTCTCAGTACTAGTCTCCTCTGCTTCTTCCCGGATCAGATTTTAAAAGTTATGTTTTTCTAAGAAGATACTCATTTCCCTCCCAAGCGTATCATTTTTAGGCATACAATTATTCATGATAATGTTTTGAATAATATTTACAAAGCTTATGTTGGTGTTTTGATTTTCTTTAATTCTCTTGAATGAGTCTTGTAAAGTATGAACATTTCAATCTGGCAAAGCCCAACTTTATCAATTTGTTCTTTTATTACAGATTTCAATCTGGGTCTTCTAAGAGTTCTCTACCAAGTCATAAAAATTTTGTTCCTATGTTTTCTTCTAGAAACTTGGTGGTTTTAGGCTTTATGTTTAGATCTATAATCCACTTGAACTAAGTTGTACTTATGATAAGAGGTATGGATTTAGGGTCACTTTTTTGGCATGTGGATATCCAATTTTTCTGGCACTATTTGCTGAATGAATTACCATTTTGCATGTTGTTAAAAGGCACTTGTCCACGTAAATGGATGGTCAGGTTCCGTTACACATGAAATTTTCTAGAAATTAATAAATTAATAAATCAGTTAGAAATTTGCATGGAAACACATCAAATGACCTTCAAGAGCCAATACAATGTTGAA